CACACACATACACACACACACACACACACACACACACACACATACACACTGAGTTAAACCCCAGTCCTACACTGCATAAAATGATTTTGTGCATGAAACAGAGTTTGCATATCACAGCTAAAGGGACTGAGAGTCTTTTTGCCTTTGGAGCTGTTCAATAACTGTGTGTCACATGTCTTCATTTTGACAACTCATCACATGAGGTCAGATGTGAGGTCCACTTATAGTCACACTGGGATTCCAAAATCTATGTTGTTATGGATTTGGAGCATTTTGGATTTCAGATTTTCAGATTAGGGATGCTCAGCCGGTAACATTTTTCATTAAAACATTAGTTCACTACAGTGGCTCCTGCCAATAAGTTGGGAGCTTAAAGGATGATACAAGAGGACCTGGCATTCTAGGACAGCTTGGGGAGAAGGGGTGGAGGGAAATAAAAGCCCCTTGGAATGATTCCAGGACTGGAAGATAAAATATACAAAATAGGTCGTATAGCTTATCACACCAGAAAGAAGGCATGTAACTATAATCCCAGTACTTGGGAGATAAAGATGAGAAATTGAAGTCTCTCCCTGGCTACAGAGCCAGCTCCAGGCCAGCCTAAGAGACAGGAGACACTGTCTCAGAAAAGGGAGGGAAGAAAGGAGGGCAGGAGGGAGAGAGGGCAAAGGGGAAAGAGAAAGAAGAGTTGTATCCAAACAACTTAGGAGCCAATTTCAACAGAATGTGATCATACTTTTATTTCTACAACTAGTTTATAATAAATTCTGTATTATTAAATTATACTATATAACAAAGTCCAGACTATGCATTACTCCACAGGGCAAGTGTCCAAGTTTTATCAGCAAATAGATTAGAAGAGGAAACAAAAGATAGAGAAGAATCAATAGCTTAAACATTAGTCACAATGCATGGCCAGCATTTGGATTCTGACTCACACTGTTAAAAATATTAAGACAAAATTTTTTTCATTTTTGGTCTTTTTGAAACAGGGTCTCCTTGTAGCCCTAGCTGGCCTAGAACTATGTAGACCAGGCTGGCCTTGAAGTCACAGAGATCCGCCTGCCTCTGCCTCCTGAGTGCTGGAACTAAAGGTGTGCGCCACCACTCCCGGCCACAAGACAAAATTTTAACACTGACTGGACATTTGAAAATATTAAGCTATTCTTTTTCCTGAGAGTAGTGTTTGTATGAATCTTTTTAAAGTCTTTGAAGATACACAGGCTGACATTTTTAACATTTAAAAATATATGACAGGGCAGGAGAGATGGCTCAGCTAAGAGTTAAGATTAAGGGCCAGGCATGGTGGCACACACCTTTAATCCCAGCACTCTAGGGGCAGAGTAGGTGGATCTCTGTGAGTTCCAGGTCAGCCTAGTCAACATAGTGAGTCCCAGGCCAGCTGGGGCTACAGGGAGACCCTGTCTCAAAAAGATGAAAAAAAAAAAAAAAAAAAAATTTAAGGTTAAGAACATGGCAGCTCATAGCTGGCTCTAACTCCAGTTCCAGGGGGCTCTGACGCCCTCTTATGGCCTCTGTGGGCACTGAATATATATGGTGCACATAAATACATGCAGACAAAACATTCATTCCCATAAAATAAAAATACTTTTTAATTTTTTATTTTATGTGTATGAATGTATTGCCTGCATGTGTGTAAACACACAGATGATATACAATGCCTCGGAAGTCAGAAGAAGGCATCAGATCCCCTGGAACTGGAGTTATAGGCGGTTGTTAGCTGTCATGTAGGTGCTGGGATTCGAACCTAGGTCCTCTGCAAGAGCAGCCAGTGCTCTTAACACTGAGCCATCTCTCCAGCTCCAATATTTTTTTAAAAAACTACTGGAGATTCACATTTGAAGAATGTTTAAAGTAGAGATGTAACTCAGTTGGCAGAGTGCTTATCTAGCATACACAATGCCCTGGGATCAATTCCTAGAACACATTAAAAAAAAGTCTTGATAGTGAACGCTTATAATCCCAGCACTCCCAGAGTTGGACCTAGGAGCCAGGATCAGGAGCTCAAGGTTACCCTCTTTTACACAGCTAGTTCAAGGCCAGCCTGGGCTATATCAGACTTCTGACTTGGCAAAGTAAAAAGTTTCACCCAAAATCACTGTTACATGTATGCAGTTTATTCAACATTACTGTATATACAGGGACAAACGAGTCCTTATTTGAAATATTTATTCTTTAGAAGTACATACACAACGTGTTAAAAGTTAAAATAACACATTTTTTAGCTATCCAGCTGTTAATTGTTTAAACTGTAGCTATCCAGCTGTTAATTGTTTAAACTGGATGACAGGGAATAAGGATTTTTTATTTTCCTTGTCATTTTGAGACAGGGTCTCCCTGTAGCCCCAGCTGTTCTGGAACTCACTATGTAAACCAGGCTGTCCTTGAACTCACAGAGCTCCACCTGCCTCTGCCTCTTGAGTGCTGGAATTAAAGGTGTTCACCACCACACCAAGCATAAGGGTTTCTTTTTGACAGTACTCTCTCAACACGTACCTGTATGTATATGTAAGAAGAATTCAACATGGGGAGAGGAAGGAAAGGACAGTCCATTCAAACAAAGTTTCAAACAATAAAACAAAACTACCTTGGTAACTTTTGAGGCATTTCAGTATTTAATTTTCTGATTCAGTATGATTACTACACGAAACAGTTT